AATATAAATTAATAGAAAACTTTAAAATATAATTAAATATAGCTAAAACTTATTAGAAAACAGATTTTGAGTTATTGAACTTGAATTTATGCAGTCCATTAACTTAACAGAAATTCTAGACTATAGCTTAGTGGAGTTACCTGCCACTTTAGTGTTGCTATTACTTAGTGAATCTACTCTTACTTTGTGTACTTTTTTTCTTTTAGAGATGACAATAGTATTTTTGATGGGTTGGTGGAAGAAGATGACAAGGACAAAGCCAAAAGGTAGTTTGATGTGAGAGAAAAATAATAAGTGAAAAATAAGTAAATTAAATAGAAAATTAATGATTTCCAAAAGCTGTTTCCTTTAAGAATTTAGATAATATTAGCAAAGTAGAAGAGCTTAGATGATCAATATACAATTTATAAATTAAATACAATTATTCTCTGACCTTTTGGAAAAATACTATGCTTTGCTTAAAACAAAATTGGAAAATCTGATTTCATGATTAACTGCTTTATAAATAATTGAATTTATCTCAAAAACTCTTTGTTTACAGATTACAACTTACCACAGAATATCAATTATTCATTTAGCACATCTGTTAAGAATGCTTACTGTTTTAGAGTTGTTGTATCAGAATGCTTAGATAAAAAATATGGGTCTATATCTTGAGGGAGAGACAGGTACAGAACAGCTGCACTCTATTAGATCTAGAAGTATAGAGGAAAGAGTATGAGTAAGCTATAATTTAAAACTTAAATGGATGACTTTCTCCTAATTGATAATTGTTTATATATATATATACTTTTATAAAATATTAATACTTATAATTTTATGACTTTCGAAGCTTTGGTAGATATTAAATAAAATTTGCACTGTGCGTGGTTTGTCTTTTCATTTTCATAAAAACATGCTTGTGAAATGCTTGATGTATAAAAATTTCTTTAGTGAGAAACTGAGATGAAAAATTACTGCCCAAATTAACATATATTGCTGGTGACCTAGGAAATGTCTGTTATTGTCTATATTTACAGTAATACAGTGTCATGTCCAAATTTAACATTGTAATACATGATTTGAGTAAGTGAATTATTTAAAAACCACTGATTTAATTTTTTTCATCAGGGTATCTAGAAACAAATCTGAAAAGAAACGTAGAGATCAATTTAATGTTCTCATTAAAGAACTGGGATCCATGCTTCCTGGAAATGCTAGAAAGATGGACAAATCTACTGTTCTGCAGAAGAGCATTGACTTTTTACGAAAACATAAAGGTAAATTTTTTTTTAAATCATAAGACTCTCCTTTAAAGCATAATGAATTAGAATTTTGGCACAGATTGATAAGATTATTTCCTTAGCTTTTTTAAAGAGAGAGAAACCATTTGCCTTTTACAGAAAGATTTCTTGGTATAATCTTTCATTCAATAAATATTTATTTTTAAAAAAGAAAATTAAGGAAAAATAAATACTTATTTAGTGCCTTCTGTATTCCAGATCCTTATGATGCAGGGTAATATTCTTACCTTTTAAGTAACTCAATCCAGGGGATACAAACATGTAAACAGATAGTTACAGTACAAATGATTATAATGTGGGTAGTGCTTGTAAATTGTAAACTTGCAGTGGGAACACAGAGGAAAAGAATATATCAGAGAAGACTTAAAAATAGTTCATTTCAGCTCTTTTCCTTTTTTTTCTCTTTCATTGAGTTTATTGGTACATTTTAGATATATAGTACAGTTACATTCATCATTGGGATGTTGTACCTTTACATGACAAGTCTTGGTTCTCATTTTTTCCCCTTGTCCCTGCCCTCCCTTCACCCCCTCCTCCCCTCCCTGTTTACAAACACTTTATTTCCATCGTTTCATTTTCTCATATGTTTTTCTTTTCCCTTATTACCTTTCCCCTACCCTTCCCACTTTCCCTACACTTTTAGCCCTTTTCTTCCTATTTCACATTGTCAGTTATATCATTAGGATCTTATGTACTATTATAGTTTATTCACACCTGAGAAACTATTCAGTATTTACACATGTGTGACTTATTTATTTCACCTAGGAGTATATCCTCAATATGTATCCATTTTCCTATGAATGAATCAATTTCTCATTCTTTATGGCTGAGTAATATTCTATTTTATAGAAAAACCACATCTTCTTTATCCAGTCTCCAATTGATGGGCAAATGGGCTGTTTCCAAGTTTTATCTATTACAGACTGTGCCACTGTAAACATAGGTGTGCATATATCACTGTGATATGATTCTCTTAATTCTTTTGGAAAGTTACCCAGCAGAGGGATGGCTGGGTCAAATGGAACCTCCAGTCCAAGCTCTTTGAGGTATCTCCATATTGATTTCCATAATGGTTGCAGTAGTCTGCACTCTCACCAACAATGGAGAAGGGTTCCTTTCTCCCCACAACCCCAACATTTGTTATTGTTTGATTTCTTGATTCAGCTCTTTTCTTTTTAGATGAAAGAAAAGCATTTCACACAAAAGAGAAAACGTGCAAATGCAGAGATGCAAGGGACCTCTTTTATCTGGAGTGTGTTCATGTTGGAAAGTTAGAGTTGTATTTGAAAGAAAGAAAAAAGCCAGATAATGTAAGGAATTTATATATCATTTTAAAAAGTTATTTAGTTTTATATATAGGAAATAAACATTTTTTAAATATCTATTCAATGAAGAAAATCACCTTGACCAAGTCAGGGATGAGTCATAAAAATGTAAAGGCAGCTAGAGACACAGCTCAGTAGTAGAATGCTTACCTGACATGTCCAAGGCCCTGAGTTCAGTCCTTGGCACCGGGGGCAAAATCATATAAAGAATATTAAGTGTTTTGGTGGCAGAGATACTAGATTTTAAAAATACATAGAAGGACATTTCCTTTTCAAATGCAAATAGAACTGCAGAGTCTCTCCAAAGGAGAGCTAGTAACAAGTGGTTCTTTATGTCTCCTATCTCACTGGCTAATATATTACTAGATTAGTTAATGTTCTGCCACTGTTTGAAATTATTTTTTTCACTTTCACCAGTGACATTACTTACCCATCCTCAATAAAGCAAAGGGCTTTATCTTATAGCTCAGCCTAATGTTCATCATCTGTTTAGAATTGGAAATTTTGATTCATCCTCCATTGGCTTGCTTTCCATTAAATTGTATCACTTCTTCCCTTTCTTAAATGAAACTACCTTCTTTCTTTTTGTACTCTATATATGGTGACATTTCTCAGGGCCTGTTCTTGTGCTTTTGCATTTTCTATACTATTTCCCTTGTTTATTCCATTTTATGACTTAAGCTATTGTATCTCTATGAAATTATCAGTGCTTTATTTTCAGAGAAAACTTTAGCCTTGTATTTCTAGATGCTTCTTTTACCCCAAATCAGTACATCTAAACTGAACTCATTTTTGTCAAGTCACTTATTTTATTGCTACGACTGTCATTATGTTTTACCTTTAGAAATATTTCTAAAAACCTCAGCACCTCATGTTAGATGGCACACCCCTCAAATCAGTGTGGGAGTTGAATAAATTCATTGTTGAATGAATGAAATAAAATGTATATGTTTCCCACTAAAAACAGAGGGTTAATTTTTACAGTATATTAGTTTTTTCTTTAAAATTGAATATATAATTCTCTCAAAATGAAATTTATATTTAAGAAAATCCCTTTTAATTAAAGGGAAATCTTAAATATTTATCACTCTAAAATAGGCCTGTGTTTAACTGAACTTGATTGGGCTTTGCTTCTGGATTTAAATCCTTTTTCCTAAATGTGTATCACTGATCTGAATTTGAAAAATGTGACTATATTCCACAAATTAGTAGCTAGGCTTTTTAGTTATTCTTCACATTATAGCATAAGCATTTAAATACATAAATATTCCAGTGATAATTTAATATGCTACATTTGTATATTTGTCAATAAAAACACCAACATAGTTCATCCTTTTTACTACAAAATAAAGTGTATTAGGAAGAGTATAGCCTATGTTATAGGTTTTTATTCTGCCTAGTTGTAATGTCTGCATTTAAAAAATAGAAAAACACTTATTACCTAAACAGTTCAGGTTTATATTTATTATTTATAAATAACTTTCTCTTGACTAGATGTCTGAAAATTGTATAGCAAAATAAAGTAGTAATAATTCTGATAAAATGTGTGCCCTATGCCAGATTTCCAAATTTGGAACCAGCTTCTGACCACTAAGAACATGAAAAAAAAAACAATTAAGTAAAGTCACTCTGGGCATTTTACTATGAAGTTTTTTGCCCAAAATCTTAATTTTGTCTCCTTGATTAATTAAACAAAAGCACCTAAAATTTGGAGAAATCCTTTTGTAACAATGGCAGGCCTAAGATTGTTGAAAGCAGGTTGACCCATCTCATTGGCTTCTTTCTTCCAGTTTTACTACCTTATCTCTCTCTAGCTATCACCATTTGAATGGAATATCTTGAGTTAATCTGCTTTTCTTACTAGTTTTTAGACATTGTGTCTAGTAGGAAGCAATCTTAGTTTATCAGCCATAAAAGGATATCAAATATTAAAGCTCCTGTGGAGGGGGGAGAATATTACCAAGATGCCAAATCTAGAGAGATAACTTCTCACATTAACTCAAATATTTTCTCATGCCAAATACTGGTCTCCTGGTATTTAAACCAGTAAATGTTAGTCCCTATCATTCTTATTTCTAATTGGAGTGGAAAAGAGAAGGCAACTTGTAGGATTTTTGTACTCTCCCACTGGTTGGATTGTATCACTAATGTGTAAATCTGTTTGCAGAAATCACTGCACAGTCAGATGCTAGTGAAATTCGACAAGACTGGAAACCTACATTCCTTAGTAATGAAGAGTTTACACAATTAATGTTAGAGGTATGTCCAGATTTAATTTTTGAAAGTTATTTTCATCAAAAAAAATGTTGAGTGTGATTAATTTTAATGTAGTTTTAGCAGTATTATTAATATTGGAGTCTTCATTCTGTGTAAATGTAATAAGCTATGTATATGTTGTTAAAATTGATGAAAGTATTGTAAGCAAATGATTATGTGGTAAAGTAGCATGAAATTTTCCTATTTTTAGTGTTTTAATCTTTTGAGATGCTTAATGAAAGTCAGAAACTTGTATCTACTGAGTTTTCAGCCTGAGCCTATGCCAACTACATTCTAACAAAGAATATAATATATTTTCTATCACATGTTAGATATTATTAAATATATTTCAGTCCATGTGAGCTGCAGATTGTGAAAAAAAATTTTTATTCCTCATAGTTCTAAAGGCTGAAAAGTCATAAGATCAAAGCACCAGCAGACTTCCTGTTTGGTGAGAGTTCTTGACCCCTGGTTCATAAACAGTCATGGTGTGATGGTACCCTTGTGTAGCTCAAAGGGCAGAAGAGCTCCTTGAGGCCTCTTTTGTAAGGACACTAATTCTGTTTATGAGAGTTTCTCCTTCACTGCTTAATCATCTCCCGAGGGTCCCACCTGCAGATACAGTCACATCAGGAATTAGGTCTCAACAGAAGAGTTTTGCAAAGGGACACTCAGTCTACAGTAGATTAAAATCTGCCTAAAGTAAAATAACAAATGAAATACTTGGAAAATATAAAAAAGTGAAATATAAGTTGAAAGGTAGCTTTTTTTTTAAAGTAGAAACTTTTAACTTGAAATGAGCACATGTTCTGTGACCAAATTATTTTTTTAAAACACTTCAGAGAATTTTTGCTTGTTATTACAGAAGTTAATATCTCATACAACCTATTTAAAAATTTACAAAAGTTTTGAATCACTCATACCTAACAATTTTATTTTCTTTCCTATGTACAACAGATATCATCTGTATACACAAAGTATATAAAGTTTAGTATCAAATTTCTATGAAATTATAATCGGAAATGGGTGGTTTATTTTGGAGGTAACAGTTAAAGGGAAGAAACATAGATACGTAAAAGAAAGTGGACATGGAAAGAAAACAAGAATACAGTTGAAACAAAGGACATAGATAGAGGTTAATAAATAGTATGTACTGATCTCCATCCTATTTGTTTGGCTTTATTATTTTAGTCTTAAAGCCTTCGACTGTTAGGTGTATCTGTTATGTATATGAATGGCTATGTCTTAGATATCTTTGTATGTTTACTAAAGTCTAAAGCAGCATAGCTTTTTGTAAACTGAGATATTTTTCTGTTTATACTTCAAGTGGAACAATTAACTGCTGGATAAGTGTGTATTCGGCAGAAATGTTAGAAAATTTGTTTGAATATAAATACTTTTTAAACCTCTAATCTTACTCTTTAAAACTGAACCACAACTGGGAAGTTTTCATGTATTAACTAACTCATTGGATCCTCATAACCATATTATGAAGTAATTAGTCCCTGGAGTCTGTGTGTTAATAATAACCAGTATTATTAAGTAGACATTAGTATTTCTTTCCTACTTCCACATAAGGAAATCAAGGAACAGAGTTATAAAACTTAATCCAGAGCGACACAGCTGGAATTTCTTACAGGCCACCTGACCTCTGGTCTCATTCCCTCAGCTACTGTGCACACTGCCTCTTACCAGATTTTTCTTTTCAGTGAAAGTTAGACATGACAAGAAATGTACAGCTCTGTGACAAGCTATTAGTTCTTTAGTGTATACATAATTTACAAACCAAATGATAATTTGATTTTTTTCTCTAAAAGTGTCTTGACAGTGTCAAAAATATTTCTTTAGATAAGTAATATAAAAAAGAACACACAAACTATTGCCTACAACAAAGAAAATATTGTATAATATTCTTGTGTAATAGTTTAATAAGATCACCTGTGTTAATAAAACTGTCTTTGTTGGCCAGGGACTTAGCTCAGTGGTTCTGCCACCTACCTGGCGAACTCAGGGACCCGAGTTCAATCTCTGGTACAAAAAAAAAAAAAATGTCTTTGTTTTGCTGGTAAGAATTTCTTATACATTAAAAAATGTGTATAATATCTACTTTCAATTGTAACTTTAATGTAGGTAAACTGCCTGGTTGTTAATAAATTAAATAGAAAAATGTTATCTTCAAATTTCTCTTCACAATAGAAAGATACTTTTATTAATCACTAAAGTACATATGTATAAAATCAAGGAAAAAATGAACCAGATTCTAGAGATTATGAATTATAATAACAGAGAAAACTTAAATGTCTTTAAAATTTTGAAACTATAAATTAATTCGTTCGTGATTATTCTCATAGATTATGAGTTTACATTCCTGAAAATACTACATTTATTTTTAGTGTGTCCATCTACTAAGTATACACTCTAGCATGTGTTAAGATGAAGGATATGTATGTGGACATGTATATATTCCATTTTGAGTCTAAATGTTTGCTCATCTTTGATTTTACATGCTTAATTTGTCTTTCCAAATTTGCTTATTAAATATGAAAAATTTGATTCACAAATAGAACTGGTTTTGGTTTGGGTAGAGAATAGCTTAGATGTGATTTACTTGGCTAACCACATTGATGAGATTACAAATAAGCAGGCTACATACCATTTGCAGCAGAATTGTCTGATGTAGGCTGTATCTTGGAATGTTACAGCTGCTACCAGAAGTAGAGGAGATTAGATTGTTTAGCTCAAACTTAATTTTACCATGATACCTGGAGAAGTTGCAGCTTGTCCACAGTCAGATAGCTAATTAATGGAAGATCTGGAACCACGATCTTAAAATTCACTCACAGCTTATGTTTGGCTGTCTCTCTTCATTTCTCCATTGCCCTCCACCCCTGCATCTGTTGGCTAAGGAATATTTCTTCCTTCTCTTAGAAAAGTAGGAATAGACAAGACAATTAGAATAGTTTGGCCAGATCAGATTGTTTTAAAATCATCTGTATGTGAAGATATCTTCTAATATGTAGTTCTCCTTGGTAGTTCAAAGCTCTCCAGTAATCCAAACAAGATGGAGTAGTGATGTGTGTTAGCTTCATCTTTGTTGCAAATTCATAAAGTATTTCTCTACCTGTCTCTAGAACTTCTGTCGCAAGCTTCCCCAGTTATTGTGTGTCAGATAGATATTAAATCAGAAGACAAGGAGTTTTAACTAATGCACCCTTCCCTTCAGGTATAGGATGTGGGGGAGGGGTACGAGTCACAGTCTTAGAATGAGGAGCCTTACCCTTTCACATCTCTCTAAATCATTTTCCTTGGTACTTTTAGTTTTTGGTATTAGCTTTTTTACTATCTACCTTCATGGCAAATTATACCCCTTTTTGCTTTTTTTAGATGCTGTTGGAGACTTTCCTGCTTTTTCTGTGCCTCCTTTGAAAGAAGGGGAAAGCAGGCTCTAGAACTAGAAGTCGGTTTAAGTTATTTATAGAGTTTTGATTTCAGTTCATTCTTCACAGAAAAGAACTTCACTTTGCTTTCTAAGGTGATACAGTCTAGCTCACATAAGAAAAACAGTTTTCTTAACATCATTTTGCCCTACTCAAAGTAATAATAGTAAGAATAATATTGGTATTGTACAAGTTTTACTTTCATAATACATTAATTGGATTACATTCTAAGATTTCTAACCACCCTATCCACCAAGTAACTAAAATTGGATCTGTCTGGGCCATTGTAGAAGATAGGCTTTTGCTCAGTACAAGTTCTCTCTGCTGTCCACAACTCTTTCCACCAGTACTGGGGGTGACAGTTTCTGCATATAAAACAGTTATTTAGAATTAGAGAGAGATTGCTTTTACTCTTAGGTCCATAGCTTATATACTACAGTACTTTTTACCACACGTAGATTAGATGTTTCAGATACTAGGATGATTTAAGATACACATGGATCACTCAGAGGTTGCTGTTCTGAGAGAAATCTCCTTAATTAAGTGAGAAATAATTGTCAGCTTTTCCCTGGACCTTTTCTTAGGCTGCACATACATTTGTTGCTCTGTTGTTGTTGTTGTTGTTTTATGCAATTACTTGAATCTGGTTCCCTTAAAACCAGATATCAAGGTTTGTTGGCCTTTCTTCTTTCTTCCTTTGTCAAATGTGTGAATGAGTGGGTTATGGTAGCTTTTGATCATCCATTCATTCTAAACTTTTTGCAATTTGAGTCACCTTCCTGTTGATGTAACTCTTCTGAAGATCACCAAATGTCGCTTCTTATTTTCTTGTTTCTTGTCGTCTTTATCTTGTACACTAAACCATCCTTCTTTTCACTGGCCTTGTCATAGCCTCTACCATTTTCTTCTTAACAACAGCATATTCTATCTATATTAAAGAGAGAGAGACAGAGAGGAGAGAGCACCTGGGGCAGGTGTTGTGTAAGCAACAAGACTTGTTTATATAACGCTGGGGTACCAGCAAGCAGGCTGAGTCCAAAAAGGAAGTCAGTGTAGAGTAGGAAGAGAACAAAGTATTTAAAGGTAAGAGGAGGGGTTATTGCCTTGAGGAATTTTGGGAGTAAGTAGAGTGACTCACTCTTCTCCAGATGGCCATTGTCTTGTCTTTGTTCTTTAAGGCTTCCTACACATCTGCCTCCAAGGCTTGATGGTGCACACTCCAGTCCACGAGGTTGCCTTACCCTCTAGGTGTGACACTGTCCTCCAGTTTCTTTTTCATCATCCCTATATGGAGGCCATATTTGTAAGGATTTATCTTTGACATACTTTTCTGTTTTGAAGCTCTCATTTCTCCAGCTGTCACTTAGGTGCCTAGGGTTCTCAAAAATAATAATAATAATTTTGAAAAATACAAAGAGTAGAATTGCTTTATTATTAGGTCATGTATCCTTTGCTCCAGTATATCTCTGGAAAACATTCACATTTCTTAGTACTTAACTAATTCTTTTCTTTTTTACCTTTGCTACTAATTTAGCTCAGATTCTCATTAATTTCCCTAATCACCCCAAAGGGTATTGAGGCTTTTCTGACTCAGTTCTTTGTTTTGAAAATATATTTTACATACTTCTTCAAGACTACTACTCTCATTACAGAAAAACTTCCTGTCCTAAAATCTTCTGATGGCTTCCCATTGTGTACAAGAGAAAATCTTTTAAGTTTTAACCTGAGATTCAAGGGCTTTCATGATTTGGCCATAGCCTAGTTTTTCATTTCCTGTCACTCCCTTCAATTTATTCCTCATGTTTCTCCCTACCCTTCAGTCATACATTTCTCTTTTAATGTATCCAAAATAGTAACATAGTAATGTATTCTTTTGTCTGCCTAAGACATATTCTTGGTAGCATGTGTACTTTGGAAATATTAGCATCTTTAAATAAGCCATACTGTATTTATGGTTGGATTTTATAGTATACATGGCAGTAAAGACAGAATATTAATTCCCAAACTTTAGAAACCAGCTTTTCAACAGATAACTGGAGAATGATTTTGTTAACCAGAGTGATTCCCGCCCCTCCCCCTAAGGATTTAAAGATGCACAGAAATACAGAGTAATGTACTGTAAGGGGAAAAAGCTAGCATTTTGACATTACCTGATGTTGCATTAAGTTTATTGTCATTTATCTTATTTCTGAGCTGTGAAATACTTTTTTCTTTTTGTTTAACTGACCATTATGTTTAATTTCAGGCTCTTGATGGTTTTTTTTTAGCAATTATGACAGATGGAAGTATAATATATGTGTCCGAGAGTGTGACTTCATTACTTGAACACTTACCAGTAAGTATAACAATCATATGATCTTTATTATTGAGTGCCTATTTTAAGTCTTTTAAAGCACTAGAAAGTAGACCTTTATTTGGTACAGTGTTGAAAATAGCTAAAAGGTAGCCATGAAAACTCTTTTAAGTATGTCTTTGTTTTGGTTTTTCGGTTTTTTGAGACAGGGTCTCACTGGTTTTGAACTCACTATGTAGTCTAGGCTGGCCATGAACTCATGGTGATCCTTCTGCCTCAGCCTCCCAAGTGCTGGGATTACAGTAGCATGTGCCACCACACCTGGCCTTAAGTATGTCTTTTTTTTTTTTTTTTTTTTTTTTGGTACCGGGAACTTAAGTATTTCTTTGTTTTTAGTATTGCTGTATTTTTTTCATATGAGTCATGACTAATTAATGTGTAATAATATTCAGCTGCCACTTGAAGAACTTGTTCTTCCCATCTTTATTCTAATGCTAACTTTTCAGTGTTTTTTTGTTTGTTTGTTTGTTTGTTTTTTGTCCTTTTTTTTTGAGACAGGGTCTCACTATGTAGTTGAGACTGGCCTGGAACTCACTATGTAGCCCAGGCTGGTCTCGAATTCACAGTGATCCTCCTGCCTCAGCCTCCTGAGTGCTGGGATTACAGGTGTGCACCACAACGCCTGGCTTCAGTGTTTTGTTTTTAATTGGTCTCATGAAGATGTTAAAACACCAGAATATTGTGGAAATAACCAAATTCCTCCAAGATATTTGTTGCAGGTAGGAAAACTCAGACATAATTTCCTAAAAGGAATGAATTACAAAAACACTAAAGATAATTGATACAGAATTTGGAAGAAAATGGATACTACTTGAACCCATAGTGTTGCTGGGGATTTAGCTCAGTGGTTCCACTGCCTGCCTCGCAAGTGCAAGACCCCGAGTTTGATCCCCAGTACCAAAAAAAGAAAAAAATAAGAAACCATAGTGTTAATTGAAACAGAAATTCAGTTATCACTTGTTTTCTCTTATATGAGAAACCGAGAGCATAAAATTAAAGAAGTAAATAAAAAATAGATAATAGGAAACGGGGATATAGAACTTCTACAAAAAGGAAGGAGACCAAGAGATAGATGGGAGAGAAAGGGGATTTTTACAGGAATCACAGCATGTTATGTACATGTACCAATCCCCCATGATAAATGCAATCATAATGTACTGCAAATATGTACTAATTTTTTTATTTTTAAAGGATAATAAAGTAATGATCATACTCAGTTCATTTTCAATATGACTAAAAGATATAAAGAATTAGAAGTATATTGTATAATTTTGATTGGGGTGAATACCTGAATTGTGTTTGCTTTCATTACCAGCATGTATTTATTAGGCATATGTTCTGTCCCAAACACCATGTTAAATGCTGTGCTGCAGTTGATGGTTTTAAAAATGAAGTTGCAGATTTTATTTAATATATTATTATCTGAGATGGGACCTATGGTCCCATCTTATTTGTAAATTATCATTATATCATTTGTAAATTATTCACTATGCTTTCTTTTGAAAAATTGCAAAGTAAACTGCACAGAGATACTGAAAAGCAGTATTTCATTCCCTCTGTTTACTTTTGTAGAAAACTCTTGTAAAAAAAATTCTTGTATTAAAAAAACCAAGAGAAAGAATCCCTCTATATGATTAAGTAATTAATTAGTATAATTAGATGGTTTTAAGTGATATAAATTATATTGGTTTTCCTTTCAGTTATATATTTGTAGAAACTACATAATTTTTTTTCAGCTTTAATTGAGTTTATTGGTACATTTTAGGGATACAATACAGTTACATTCATTGTTGGGATCTTGTACCTCTACATGACAAGTCTTGGTTCTCATTTTTTCCCCCTGTCCCTGCCCTCCCTTCACCTCCTCCCCTCCCCATCTACGAACACTTTATTTCCATCTTTTCATTATCTCACATTTTCTTCTTTTCCCTTATTACCCTTCCCCTACCCATCCCACCTACATACATAATTTTTAAATTTAGTAGTAGTATACCAAAAACTAAAGGTGTCTTAAGGAAGATGATTTAGAGAGATGTGAATGAACAAGGCGGAGAACATCCTCTTCATCCCTTCCCCCACATTCTGTAACTAAAGGGGAATGGTTCATTAGCTAAAACTCCTTGCCTTCTGTTTAATATCTATCTGATGTACAATAATTACTATATGATGACAGTGAAGGCTAATCTGAAAAGGTCAAAATTTTTGTACCTTGTAACTAGGAATATAGTTGTTTAAAAATATTTTATATCCAAGCTGAGCATGGTGGCACATGCCTATAATCTCTGCCCTCAGCGTTCTGGGAGACTGAGGAAAATTTGAACCCAACCTTGGCAGCTTAGTAACTTAGCAAAGCCCTGTCTCAAAAAATAAAAAGGGCTGGGGATGTACTTCTGTGGGAGGGCCCTGGGTTCAAATCCAGTCCTGCCAAAACAAAAAAACCAAAATTGTATGACATTTGTTTAAGGGAGCCTTGAGTCACTTTAAAGCAACTGTTGTCTATAGGAGTCATTTGTTAACTTTCCTTTGTCTAACTAAAAGATAATTACAACAGTTACAGTTTATACTAAATGATAATATTGATCTAATGTAGAAACATGTCATATAACTAAATCAAATTTTTACATGAAAATGATTGAGGGTAGCTAGGTGCAGGCCTGTAATCCTAGCACATAGGAGGTGAGGCAGTAGGATCATTGTGAGTCCAAGGCCATCCTGAGCTACATAGCGCATTCAATGCCAGCCTGAACTGCACATCAAGACCTGGCCTGGAAGGGAAGGAGGGAGGGAGGGAGAAAGGAAGGGAGAGGAAGAGAGAAGGAGACAGAAAATGAGATTGAGGGAAGTTAAAAGATCCAGATAGCTACCATTTGCTTTTCTTCACTCGGACTCATCTTGCTATCTGAATAGTTGTTATAGCAACAGCAAGTATGATTAGCCTCATGTAGAGACATTAAGTAAATTTAATACTTCACAGAATGGTAGGAAAACAGCTTGTAATCATACTCTTTATATTAGCCATTCATATTTTTTCTCTGAATAGGAAACATAAATTTATAGATAGAAAAGAAAGAGTAAAAAAGCCAAATCATAATTTGTTGAAGTAGAAAAAACAATAGTCATTTTCAAAATGAAAGCTTTAGTTCTTATTTCAAATTTGTGTTTTATTTTCTATCAACTAGTTCTTGCATTCTTTTTTTTTTTTGAGACAGAGTCGCACTGTGTAGTTGAGATTGACCTGGAACTCACTATGTAGCCCAGGCTGGTCTTGAACTCACAGCGATCCTCCTGCCTCAGCCTCCCGAGTGCTGGGATTACAGGCATGCGCCACCACACCCGGCTTTGCATTCTTATTGGTACCTGTATTTTGGTACGTTAATGTCAGTAAAACCGTTGGTAGTATTTATTTTACTAATGCCTGAATTTTCAGTTTATTCTAGAAGGCTTTTCAGACTTCCAGAAGAATTCTTTGCTAAAATATAGTTAAATTTTTGGTAAGATTACCCCTTAAGCCATTATCAAATAACTCTTTAGTCCAAAATCAGTTATTGTACTTGTAACTATTACATATGCGAGGCACAGGATTAATGTACCTTGATTGGAAGGGGAGGAAGATAAAGATATAAGAGATGGAGCCCTTTTATTCATCTATGGGGCAAAAAGAAATAGACATTAAAAGAGCAGATATTTTTATGGAAAATGAATGATACAAGGAAGAAATACTAAAGGAATTTTATTTTTATTTTGGATTTTTATGTTAAGGGAATGCTTTTTTTTTCTTTTTTTTTGGTACTGGGGATTGAACTCGGGTCCTTGAGTTTGCCAGGTGGGCCACCGAACTGCTGAGCTAAATCCCTGGCCCAAGGGAATGCTTTTTTGAGGAAATAATTTGAAAGATGTAGGATACAGTTTTGTGAAAGTTGGGAAAGACTGTTCTACTTCTTAGGGCAAAATTTGAGGGCTAGAGAAAAGATAGAAAGAATATAATTGTGTGGTTTGTATGGGAAGTAGTGAAGTACCACTTTCTCACCTTCCCCATCCTCAATAGCACTCTTTTGTTGTTAATGTTTTTGTTTTGAAGCATTGAGCTCTCTGCAGATGTATAAAATAGGAGCACAAGAGCATGGAACTGCTCCAGTTGAGTTCAGCCCTACCTTCACAGCCCCTTCTTGTTCATTTATTGAGATAACCACCTCGTATCCCCAAGACTCCGCAGAGCAGTTTGGGAATGTAGAGAAATCAGGTAGACTGGAATAGACTCAGTAGTAAATGTGAAGTCACTGGAGTTTCATTGGTACTTAAGAGGTTAGGAGGTATTTATTATTATATGTAACCATCTTTGATTCCATAGCTATCCCAAAGTGTAGACAGCCTGGCAGTTGTCACGTAATCACTGATTAATGACTCTTGATGAAAGCTGTATATTAAGAATTATGTGTAATGTATTAGTTGCCCTTTTTATACAAGACTTTTTGACAATGGTTTACAGTATAAGATAGATGCTTAGACATTAAGAAATAAAAATGAAAGAACATGTTGGACAATGGAAATGTTCCCACAGTCAAATATCCTCTTCACTTAGCCTGTTGCTGGTCCTTTGTAGTTATGTGTGCCCCCATTGTTTAATGTAGGTTTGGATAAATTGCAAAGTTGTGTCTTGTAGCCAATTAACTCTCTTAGCTCAATTTTATTTTAAAATGTTCAACTTTGGTGAAACTCAACTTTGCAAATAATACGTCATGCTTTCAGAGTTGTATTGATCATGAACCTGATGACATTGGTATCAGAGGCATGAAGGTAATGTTAACCACTTTCCAAGTTCTCAGTCTTGGTTTTTAGGAATGTAATCTAACTTTATGTGTGTTGGTTTTCACGAATCGTTGAAAATTATACATGTGATCCTCTGTTGCTTAAGAGTGATAATACATTTTTAAATGCCTCTTGAAATACTAATTGTTTAATTTTTTAAAATTTCTTCTTTAGTCTGATCTTGTGGATCAAAGTATATTTAATTTTATCCCAGAAGGGGAACATTCAGAGTTTTATAAAACACTCTCTACCCATCTGCTGGAAAGTGATTCATTAACTCCTGAATACTTAAAATGTAAGTAGAAGCTGTTAAGCAAAAATCCAAACGTTATATTTAATAGCATTATCCTTTACCTTTGAAAGTTTATGAAAAAGTTATTCTTAATTAAAATGTAACATTTTTTCCATATACCCTATTAGGTAAATTTTAAATATTAAAAAAGATTTATGAAGTGGAAGTTTGTTTATAATAGTCTAAAAGCTGTTCTAGACTATAATGAAATATCACCCTGTTTATTATAATAAATGTGAGTACTTGTGCTACAGTTAAGCCATACATTATACAGAAATGGAACCTGGCAGTATATTTTAAATTTTTAAATGTTATTGTATTTAATGAGAGAAAATAAAACAGATTCATTTTCCTTATTGTTTACCAGTTGGGCACTTTAACTGTGAGGACAATTTCTATATTTTAAAATTATTAAATAAAAAAATTTGTTAAGCTGAATTTTAAAAATCTTTTATTGGATGTATCTAGGGTACCAGGCACTTGTGCTATATTATTAAAAAGTGCCAAGCATAGTGCAAAATAGTCCCTGTGGTCAAGAAAACCAAAATATTATGGTATAATCAGATATTTCCACTTTATTGGGCAGTTTGGTTAGAGTACTTCCTTTTCATCACTGTTTTACACAATGTAAAATTTAAAATGGTTACATCACTCTTTGGCTCTTAGCTGTTAGATATTATCTTTTTTATGATTTTAAAATATCACTTTTTCTGATAATAGCATTAATCATCTTAGTTCTTTGTATTTAAATCCTCAAATTCTGTAATATACTAAGATTTGAGATATGTGCACTTAGCTCATAGATCTATAAAATTTATATACGGAAGTGTATATGTATATATATCTTTGATATGAAGGGATAATCTTTCAGGGGGAATTGAAAAACTAGAGATAGAATCATTTGGAGCCAGTGCCATATATAATTGTTTTTAATCAAGTTTGCATGACTTTGACCAATAAGCCACTTAAATCCAGTACTGAGGAGAAAAGATTTCAGCTGAATATAATAGATTTAGAAGCTTGTTATATGGTTCCATGTAATATTCACAGTCATGGATTGAATAAAATTGCTTGAACAATTGAGATTTAACATATAGAATAAGGAGAGAAGAATTAGAAAGTTAGGGCCCTAAAAAATTGTAACGGGAGGACAGAAGAAAAAGAATTGGCTTCAAGGTGCTCACAGGGGCAAAATTTTTATTGGAGAACTGAATCTAAGCCTCTGGTAGACTGGGACACTGAGGCAGGAGGATCATAAGTTCAAGCCCAGGTTGGGCAACTTGGGGACTAAGCAAGACTCTGTCTCAAAATAAAAGCTATAGCTCAGTGTGAAGGCCCTGGATTCAGTCCATAGTATCAAAAAGAAACAAACAATGACAAAAACCAGAAAGTCTTTGGCAGAAAGATAGACCTTAGGCTCCTGTTTCCAAAATCAGAGATAAGGATAGCAATAATACTTTTTTGACCAGGGGTCGGCGGGGAGCTTGGTTAAATGACTTGCTAATCGTCTAGTTAAATTAACTGATACATGAAAGTTCTTCCCCTAGCAAAAAAGTACTGTATGCCAAAAGAATAAACACAAGTTAAAACACGGGAAATTGCCTGGAAATTTATCTAAGTCATTTTGGCTAAAATGAAGACAAGGTGGTGCAAATGGTAGGATTTGGGTTTAGAGATGAAAATAGGAGCAGAATTATAAAAGGGCACTATTTCACCCTGTAGTTTGATTTTTATTTTTTACATAGTGGAGAGCCAGTGAAGGAGATTTGAATGGTTTTATAATGTGGGGAAAAAAATGCCTAGGGTAGAAAATTTTGATAAGGACCATACTGAAGACAAAAGGAGAACTCTACAATTGTTTACAATAGAAGTAAGGATGGAGAGCAAAGTATGTGAGTGCTAAATAATTAAATTCACTAAAACTTGATTTTAGACACTGGTGACCATGTCTGAGAGAATTTGAGGAAGATGATGGTAGTTGGATTTTTGAACCTGTTGAACTAATGATAAAACCTTCTACTGTGATAGTGAAAGAGCAGGGGATTGAAGTAGTGGATGAAAGAGTTACTAGTCCTTGAGTATAGAAGCAATGTGATGAAAGTATTAGGAAGAATAGTGGGCAAGGATGAATCAGAGGTGAGAATGTAGAGGCATAAGGAGTAAGTGTTGTTACTTAGATGCAAAGCCATTTGTGATTGTACCCTACTTGGTTGATGATAATGCTTATTTGGAAAAATTATTTATGAGAGTTTTCTTGGTGAAATAAATAGCACATCTTACTGACTGATTAGTGTTGGGATTTGTAATGGACCAGAAGAAGCCAAATTGATGTGAAGAGAGGGTACAGATATGGTTTCTAACTTGAGAAATAAGCACACACAAGGTAAAGGGGGATGACTGACTGAGGAAGAAAGAATAAATTCATTTTAAGATACTTTAAATTTAAATCACTGATGGGACAATCAAGTGGAAATGTCCTGAAAGCAAATAGTGATATAAAAATTTGTGTTATATAAAACGTTAGCGTTGGGGAGAGAGATAATAGGAGTTAATAAGCTAAGACCAATTTGTAAAAGGATGGTAAAAGATCAAGATGAAAGAACTTCTGTGAAAGGCAGTTGTTTGAAGATGGATTAGCAGAAGAGATAGGAAGGTCAGTAAGGGTGGAAGGCAAGTACAGGTTATGGAAATGAGGTAATATGAATTTTAAGAGCTAGAAACAGTGAGGAAAAATTACTGAAGTCATCAATGCAAATGTTAGTCCTCTAAAGTAGAGTAGCTGTTGTGGTAAAGGTGTGAGGATGAGAATGAAATCCACCATGCATGACATTAAGGGAAATGAATACATAGAAACTGGAGTACAGGAAAGAGATTTGTGATACTAAAAAGATCAGTGTGATAATTCTTTGAGATGGAAAATATTAGCAAATTTAAAATTGTAGAAAATAAAGATCCAAAAAAGAGAATTTGTAGGTACTAAAAGAGTGAGTGAGAAGTGGCATGTCCCTGGTCCTAGAGAAGATAGGAAATTTCGACTGTCCACAGTGGAGGTGGGAAAGTTAACTTCAGAATGGAAGGCGTACCTTTCTTTGAAATTATTGTAAAGAAAGAGAAGGAAGGATAGTGAAAATGGAGAAACAATAAGTTGCTTGAATAAGATGATGTCATCGGCTAAAGAGACTTTATTTATGACCAATTAAAATATCTTTAATTGAAGATGTCTGTTGGAAAAAATAGTTGTGAATTTATCCAACTTTTATAATCTTATTTCATGTGGTATATCACAGACATAGGATTTTTTATTACCTTTCAGCAAAAAATCAGTTGGAATTCTGTTGTCATATGCTTCGAGGAGCAATAGACCCAAAGGAACCATCTACCTATGAATATGTGAGATTTATAGGAAATTTCAAATCTTTAAACAGTGGTGAGTTGAACTGCTTCTTGCACAGTTTTGTAGAACTTGTTATTTTTCTAAGCTCTTTGATATAGATGTTTGAATATGAGTAAAACTAGGTTTTACTGGAATCACTGATATACATCTTTCCTTACTGTTGTAGTTTCCACCTCAGCACATAATGGTTTTGAAGGAACCATACAGCGCACACATAGGCCTTCTTATGAAGATAGAGTTTGTTTTGTAGCTACTGTCAGGTTAGCTACACCTCAGTTCATCAAGGTATGTTTATAATTTTAATTGCTCAAAGAGTATTTTATTCATAGTATAAGAATTGTCTATCTGTAACTTTTCGTTGTCTCCAGAATGACTGAAACTTCCTGTAGACATTGTAGTAGTAGTGTCTGTGTGTCACCAAGGTATGCATGACGTGATATTTTTGAAACTGTGAGTTATGAGAACACTTGCTAAGTATAGCTGATTTTTAGTGTATATCCTTTGCAGTTAACCAGTGATTATATATAACCATTGCCCTACTTTTGTGCAGAATTTTAGGATTTTTTGTGTGTAGTATTCACTGTCTTCATTAAAGGAAAAAGTTTTAAAAATCTAAGTAATTTGAAATGTACAGATACCTTTTACTGCTTGCAGTTTACTTCTTAATTTTCAAAATTTAAATGATGGGTTTTTTTTCCCCTTGGGTTCATCAAGCAAAAGATTATTAGGGAAGTGGGGACATGAAATGCTAAACAGTAGATGGAAAGGCTAAGATTTAAAATATGGGAAACAGCGTAGTGTAAGGTGCAGAACCAAGCTGGTGTTTAAAAAAATCTTAAAGCATTGTGTTGTTCTGCTTATTTTGTTTTTAGGAAATAATATCTGTGGCTAACATTGGAGCACTTATTACATGCTGAACACTGTACATGCATTAGCCTTTTTAGTTTTTATAACAACTGTATGAGTTAGATGCTATTATGATTCCTATTTAATATATTTAAAACCAAGACTTTGGTAAGTTAAGTTGCTTGCTAAAAGTCTAATCTATTAAATGATTGAACTGGGATTTGATTCTAATTCTTTCTCCTCTGCACCTCAACTCTTCGCTGCTACATAATGCTACAGATGGTCTTTTAAGGACGCAGAACAGAGTTTGGATATATTGTTATTGACCAGAGTCTAGGGTTCCCATAGGTGGAGGGAGTAGAGATAGTGAGAAGTAAGGTTAGTGAGAAGTAATGGCCAGCGATGTTGAACATTTTTTCATGTATTTATGGACCATTTGTATTTCTTCTCAGAAGTGTCTATTCATTTCATGTGCCCATGTTTTGATAGGGTCTTTTGTTTGGTGGGAGGTTTAATTTTTTTCAGTTCTTAAATATATTCTAGATATTAGTTCTCTGTCTGAGTTGTAGCTGGCAAAAGTTTTTTCCCATTCTGCAGGTTGTCTGTTTGCTCTGCTGGTGGTTTCCTTTGCTGTGCAGAAGCTTTTAAATTTGATATGATCCCATTTGTTAATTCTTGATGTTATCTCTTGTGCCATTGGGGTCCTATTCAGAAAGTACTTGCCTACACTTATGACTTTAGGAGTTTTGCTTACTTACCTTATCTTGCAGAAAGTTAAATGTTTCTGTTTTAATGTATAGATCTTTGATTTTATGGCAATCATCAAGAAATCAAATAAAAAGTATTGGTGAGGCTGTGGTGAAAAAGGAACCCTCCTGTGTTGTTGGTGGGAATATAAACTAGTACAACTATTATGAAAATCGGTATCAAGATTCTTCAGAAAACTAAAACGAGAAATTCCATTCTACCCAGCTTTTCTCCTACTAAAAAATATCTTCCCAAGAGAGTTAAAGACATATTACAGTGATACGTGCATACCTTTGTTTATAGCAGCCTAATTCGTAATAGCCAAGTCCTTTTTATTAATTGAGTTTATTGGTACATTTTAGGTATACAGTACAGTTACATTCATTATTGGGATCTTGTACCTTTACATAACAGGTCTTAGTTCTCATTTTTTCCCCTTGTCCCTGCCCTCCCTTCACCCCCTCCTCCCCTACCCATTTACAAACATCTTATTTCCATTTTTTCATTTTCTCGTATTTTTTCCTTTTCCTTATTACCTTTCCCCTGCCCTTCCCACTTTCCCCACACCTTTAGCCCTTTTCTTCCTATTTCACATTGTCACTTATCTCATTAGGATCTTATGTACTACTATAGTTTTTCACACCAGAGAAACTATTCGGTATTTACACATGTGTGACTTATTTCACTTAGGAGTATATCCTCAATATGTATCCATTTTCCTATGAATGAATCTAATTTCTCATTCTTTATGGCTGAGTAGTACTCCATTTTATAGAAAAACCACATCTTCTTTATCCAGTTTCCAGCTGATGGACAAATGGGCTGTTTCCAAGTTTTAGCTATTGCAAACCATAATAGCCAAGTCTTAAAGCAGCATGTATGTTCATCAACAGCCAGATGGATAAAGAAAATGTAGTTACCTATAATGGAATACCACTCTGCTATAAAGAAGAATGAATTTGAACCTTTTGTAGAAAAATGGTCCTTGAAAACATGCTAAGTGAAATAATAACAGAAGCTTAAATACCATATGGTTTGTCTAAAAGTATAAATGAATAGCAAAATAAAGATACCTATAAAGATAGATAAAAGGCTGGGAGATGGAGGGGCGATACAGAAAAAGAATTAAGAGGTGTTGTGTACATGTATCAAATACCTGCAGTAAAAACAACTATTATGTATTGCAGACATGTGGTACTAAATAAATTAAAAGGAAAAGGAAGCAGTGGCCAGACAAGAAATTTTTATTTTCTTCTCCATGAAGAGTACTGTGGATTTTTAAATAGCAAAATCATATAATCATATTTAAGTACTGTAGAGTGAGAAGTACTCATTATAAAGCCTGCTTTTTTATTGCCACATTTAAAAATGTTTTAATTTATTTTGTGTAGTGGGGTTGGTGATAGAACAGAGGGCTTAGTGTATACTAGGCTAATGCTGTAGTGCTCAGCTATAATATCCCTAGCCCACCATATTTTTTAGTACTAGGAAATCCAAATGTGTTAAAAATGTATTAAAGTAAAAGTTACCTATTTTAATGTGACCCCCACCCTACCCCCATACTGGGGATTGAACACAGGGCCTTTGCACTAAGCTCCATCCCCAGCCCTTTTTTGTTTTAATTTTGGGACAGTGTCTCACTAAGTTCCTCAAACTAGGCTTGCACTTGCAATCCTCCTGCCTCAGCCTTCCAGAGTGCTGAGGTTACAGGTGGGCCCTAATAATGATTTTTAAATTTTAACAGTATTTAGTCTTCTAAGGACAGGGAAATATTGTTAAATTTTAATTGTTAATTTATTTGCAGGAAATGTGTACTGTTGAAGAACCCAATGAAGAATTTACATCCAGACATAGTTTAGAGTGGAAGTTTCTATTTCTAGATCACAGGTAACTTCATTTTTAAATTTCATAAAATGGTAATTATCATATGATTTTTTAAACTACTAGGTTTCTAAGGAAAGCCTTTATTTTTCTAATCAGAACTTTCAACTCATTATCCATTTTTTAAAAAATAAAGACCACTAAGATTGGTTTATAGTTAGAATGTTTCCTACAGGAAAGTTACAGTCTTGTTTGTTTTATTATGTAATTCAGGGCACCACCAATAATAGGATATTTACCATTTGAAGTTCTGGGAACATCAGGCTATGATTACTATCATGTGGATGACCTAGAAAATCTGGCAAAATGTCATGAGCACTGTAAGTAGATTTTAATATTTCTGGTGATAGTATCCTTTTCAAAATCATATACACAAAAATCCTGTGCCACTAATGACAGGTGGTAAAATACAGATGTATAACCATTTTTATAAATATGTAAAATAGGAACAAGTTTAAGTTACATATATATCAAAATATTCCGGTAAATTTTAAAAGTGAAAACTTTCCCCTATTAACCACAGAACTCATTTTTACCTTCTGTTAAAAAAGACGTCAGAATTTATGAGCTAACAGAGTGCTTTGTGAAACACTGCACTTAACAGTTACTTCAGTGAAGTTATTCTGATTTTGGTTAATTAAGGTTTAAAGTTAAATGCCTCAAAGGTATACCTGTGGGGGAAAAAAATCTCAGATTTTATTACTGCTGTTACCATCAGTACATCTAGGGAGGAGGAAGTCAACAATGTGAATCTTTGTGTATTTGGAAGTGAATTGTGTATGAAAAGTGTGAAATCAACAAAAACTGGCCTTAAAGTTGACTCCTGTGTAAACCAAGTACATGTCTGTAATCCCAGCACCTGGGGAGGCTGAGACAGGAGGATTGTAAGTGCAAGCCCAGCCTGAGCAACTAAGCAACTTAGCAAGACTTTGTCTCAAAATTTAAAGCAAAATCTTTAAAGGGTTGAGAATGTAGACCAGTGCAGAGGCCCTGGGTTCACTTCCGAGTAGAGGGAAAAAGTTGGATATTGTGGAAGATCTGATAATTGCTTGGGCTCTTATGTAAGCTAGGTCTAAAGAATAGCATTTTCGTTGGGATAAAGCATTGAGGTTGACTTGATGAGCTGTTTTCTCTGATGTTATGAAGATGAGAATGTCTGTGGGTCGTTAGAGACCCAGAAGCTAGGGTGCAACTATATCAGGAGGATTTGGGTGATAACCCAAAGATTAAACCAAGGACAATCTGACAACAAAAATAAAAATGAGAAAACACTTAAGCAAGACACATAGACAGACTTCCAGTTCACCAATGGCAAACAGTAGGGCAAATGAGGATGAAAAGGCTGATAGTGAACCACCAGGACATCCTGAACTCAGTGCCCAGGAAGTAACAAAACAGATCAATCCGGCTCTAGAAAAATTCAAAACAGAAATAATTTCCCAGATAACCATAGAGATAGTGAGAAAAATGGAAGTCGTGATTCGAGACTCTAGAGCAGAAACTGACAAAAAAATAGATGAGCTCAGGACCATGATAGAAGCCATGAAGACCCAGCATAAGAAAGAAATGGAAACAATAAATGCCCAACATAGGAAAGAAATGGAATCCATAAAACAGATTCAAACAGATATCCAGGAGATTAAACACTCCATTGAAAGGGTCCACAACAGAATAAAAGAATGCAAAGATAGATAGACTCTCAGGTATAGAAGATAAGATTGCAGTCAGTGACCATGAAAAGAGAGGTCTCTTAAAAACAGTAAGGGATCATGAGAAATCGATCCAATAACTCCTAGATGATGCAAAGAAGAATAACATAAGACTGATAGGAATACATGAAGTAGCAGGAGAAAATACAAATGACTTTAAGAAGCTATTCACAGAATTAATGATGGAAAACTTCCCAAACAGGGGGAAGAATTTGACATTCAGATAACTGAGGCATATAGGACCCCAACTAGCTACAATCAAAAAAAATCTACACCTAGAAATATAATAATCAAGATCCCAGAAACCCAACAGAAGAACAAAATACTACAAGCAGTAAGAGAAAAGAAACAAATCACATACAAAGGAAAGCCCATCAGAATCACAGCAGACTTTTCAACACAAACCCTTGGGGCAAGGAGAGCCTGGAATGAGATATTTCAAGTACTAAAAGAGAACAACCTCCAACCTAGACTGATGTATCCTGCAAAACTCTCTTTCAAAATGGAGGGGGAAATAAGACACTTCCACGACAAAGAACACCTGAGAAACTACATGAATACCAAACCAGCACTACAAGCAATTCTAAACAAGACCCTAGAAAAAGGCAATGATGGCAACAACACCATGAGTCCCAACAGAGCAAATCAAATAGGCAAGGCAAGAAATTAAAAGGAGAAGGTGAAAAAGTAAAAAGATTCAACGAAAGGCCAATAACATGTCAATAATAAGTCAGTACATATCAGTTATAACCAGCAGTGTCAATGGCCTCAACTCACCAATCAAGAGAAATAGACTGGCAAAATGGAATAAGAAGCAAAATCCAACAATATGTTGTATACAAGAAACACACCTAGTGCAAAAAGAAGCCCATAGACTGAAAGTGAATAGGATAGAAAACAATTCTCCATGTGACAGGAGCCCAGAAAAAAAACAGGGGTAGCAATCTTATTTGCAGACAAAGCAAATTTCAAATCAAAACTGATTCTAGTATTATTGATGTAGGATGGTACTGTATCATATCTCTATGAATGTAAAATATCTTGTACCTGCTTTATGATACATAGTAGTAACCATGCTTTATCAGAGCTATATTTAATGATATTGCTCTAGAATGTCCTCTTTACAGACGATGATTAAGATGCTAATTTAAAAAATGGTACCAGGTACCACAACAGCAACAGAACTTGGCTGTTGTCTGGATATTATTCTTTTTTTGTTTTTTTTAATGGAATGTGCTGAATGTCTATAATTTTGTTCAGATGACTGCAGAACCTGCAAAAGCTGTTGCTGCTATCGATGCATAACATACTGCTATTATTAGTCTTTTTATATAAATATAAATATACACACACACACACACACACACACACACATATAAATTGAATTTTGGGAAAGTTTAACGGTGCTGCCAACTTTGGAAAAAGTTATCCCAATTTACTGTGTTGAGTTGGCATTGTACAGAAATGGACAGTGATATTGGTCTAGAAATGTTAATTTTTAAAAAATTTTTTTCCGTGTGTACAGGGGTAACACATTGTACTAAATATGTAAGGTCATATCTACGTGGGTTTGATAACAGAAACTAATAAAGTATTCTCTAAATAATGAAAAAAAGAATAAGATAAGACTACAAGAGCAAGAAGTAATTTAAATATGTTAAGGGACCATTTCCATCTTCAGAATTAAGGATTATTTTAATGTTACATCATTGCCTTTTCTCTTTTAACTTTCCTTTTTAGCTTTATTTTAGGATTCCCTATTTTTAATGTTCATACAGAGATATCTTTAACTGAAATACCGAAGTTTCTCTGGTGTGCAAAACTATAATAATACTCAGGATCCTAATGAGATAATTAAAATGTGAAATAGGAAGTAAAGGGCTAAAGGTGAAGGTAAAGTGGGAAGGGTGGGGGAAAGGTAATAAGGGAGAGGAAAAAAAATATGAGAAACTGAAAAAATGGAAATAAAGTGTTTGTAAATGGGGAGGGGAGGAGGGGCTGAAGGGAGGGCAGGGACAAGGGGAAAAATGAGAAGACCTATTATGTAAAGGTATAGGATCCCAATAATGAATGTAACTGTATTGTATACCTAGATTGTACCAATAAACTCAATAAAAAGAAAAAAAAAGAATAGCATTTTCACACAATTGATAGAATATGTTCTTGAAATGCCAGAATAAATGTATTATAGATTTAAATGTAAATGATGGGTTTTGGTTAAAAAAATTCTTCATAACTTAATAGTGATCAAGGAAAATATCTTTCTTTTCTTTTTAGTAATGCAATACGGGAAAGGTAAATCATGTTATTATAGGTTCCTGACCAAAGGGCAACAGTGGATTTGGCTTCAAACTCATTATTATATCACTTATCATCAGTGGAATTCAAGGCCAGAATTTATCGTTTGTACGCACACTGTAGTAAGGTAATAATTCTTTAAGAGAATTTCTGAAGTCTATTAACATCCTATATAATGATTTTGACATTGTAATTTTTACCCATGACTTGTTGATGAACTATAAAGTGATCTTTTTGCAGTTTTTAATATATCCTTTCAATATAGTATTAAATTTACTTATGGCGTTATATAGAGGTAGTAGGTAGATATATAATACTTGACAGTTTTGTTTTACACCAGAAGTTGTCCTTTATATACCAAATTCAGTCGTGCAAAGGGAAAACTAGAGTAGATGAATGTGCTCTTCCTTTATTTATTTCTCCTTGATTTACCTGTTGTATAGTTGGGGAATATTTATATAGTATATAAAACTTCGAGATACCTAGAAAATTCAAATTGGATTAAGATAGTACACTACAGAGATTAAGTTTCGTGTAACATACAGAAAATAGTCTAGAATTTGTGATGAACAAGTGAGATACATAACAAACACTGTATGGTTGCAGCTCCTGTGTTTTTAAGTAAATGACCAAGCACTAAAATTTTATTCTTTCCATTTGTAGTTATGCAGAAGTAAGGGCTGAAAGACGACGAGAACTTGGCATTGAAGAGTCTCTTCCTGAGACAGCTGCTGACAAAGTATGTTTCTCAGTCTTTTTTTTAAATTTATTTAATTTATTCCCGGTAAAATACAAACAATTGCTAGGATAATTATTTTTAAAATATTTCTTTCCTCAGTTGTGACAGAGATATGATTATACTTTACTGTTTGTTTTTATTTTTCATTTAATATTTAAATTCTTATTTGCTTCTAAGAATTGAAAGCCCTAACATTTAGCAATAATTAGGTGAGAGATATATGTGATCTCAGATTAACAAGTACCATTTTTAATGGACTATGATATGCTGGGCGCTGGCTAAGTTCTTTCTGTGAATTATGAAATACGATTTACTGCCTAATAGGGAATGTTCCCACTTTGAAAATGTTGAAATTGACCTCCCCTAAAGACACATACTAGGAAATTTTTGTAGGAATTTGAACTCTGGTTTCTTTTTTATTATATCCTGTAGAAGTAGTATTAGTTGTCTATTGCTGTGTAACAAATTACTCCAAAGCAGTGATGTAAAACAGCACACATCTATTGTCTCATAGCCTATGTGGGTTAGGAATCCAGGCACAATTTGGCTAGACCCTGCGCTGCAGGATCCATAATGCGGCTACAGGGAAGGTGTCACTGGGGGAGACAGTCATCTTAGTGTTCAGCTGGGGCAGAATTTATTTCCACCTCCCTCAGTGATTGTTGGCTCAATTTTCTTTGTTTGTTTTTGTTGGCTCACTTTTGTTCATCATGGGCAGTTGGACTGAGGGCCTTGATTCCTTGATGGCCAGAGGCTACCCTCTTCTCTTTCCAGGTTACTTCTTCCAGCAGAAAAAGCATGCAAGAAAATTCAGGGAGAGAAAATGCCAGTAAAACAGGCATTTGTTTTTGTTTTTTAAAATGAGTTAAATAATAGCATGTTTTTATACTAATAAGAATGATCTGATGGAGAAAGAAAAAATGATGAGAGAGACAGAAGTAGAAATGTTAGAGCAACCACTTCTCAGCCTTTTGGCTAAGATCAAGTGTAGAAATGTTGGAGCACTGTGCTGGAATAGATGTGAAAAGATGGAATCTAGCACATAAGTGGAAAGATTGGGTTTAGCTATGGGGGACAGATTATTCAATCACAGCAGGTTGAATCTCCCTGACCCTTTCACTGGCTTTGTGATGCCCACAAGCTATAAATTTTTTTATATCAGAAATCAAAAGAATAATGTTTTATGACACGAGAGGTATGTCATGTTTAACTTTCAGTGTTCATAAATAACATAGCCACATTCACCTGTTCACATATTGCCTGTAAGCTGCACTTGTGCTGCAGTAGCAGAATTAAATAGTTGTGACCGAGACTGTATGGCCCACAACGCCTAAAGGATTGACTCTCTTAAAGAGCCAGTATTACAGAAAGATTTGGCTGATCCATAATTTATAGTAACCTGACCCATGCTTTATTATTGTAACTGTGCACATATCTTCGACTCCTTCACTCCTCTCTCCCTTCTCTTGGCAAATCTCAATGCTGATTAACCCAGCTGGTAGGTAAGTAGGTAGAGTAGTGGGAGCTTATAGCAGTACTGAGTGAAATAACCAGAGTTACCAGCTAAGTGTCAGGTAAGGAAAGTTACTAAAGGTTTGAAAAGAAAAGCAAAACATGTTAAATGGTGGTGTAGGAAAGTGAATATTGTAGGGAAGTATAGTCATATTTTTCAGTTTGAAATTCAGATCATAGAGGGTTTATTCTTACTGATAACAACTCAAGGATATGACTAAGAAATAATAACTAACAGGGGTAAGGGGAAAAAATGAGAATCAAGACTTGTCATGTAGAGGTACAAGATCCGAACTTATGAATGTAACTGTACTGTATCCCTAAAATGTACCAATAAACTCAATTAAAGCTGATTTAAAAAAAAAAAGAAAGAATAACTAAGGACTGGTGGGAGTCAAGAGGTTTGGAGGAGAGCCCATGAGGGAAGAAAGAAGTCATGGTACTGATTGACTATGGATAACTGTGGGATTATTAATTAATGAGAGGAATACTGAGCTAGGATCTAAAATTTGCTAAAAAGTGACCACAAGGTCAGTACATGACTGCAACAAGAGTTAGTGAGCTACATAATATGGTTTTTTGTTTGGTTTTGCTTTTTGATACCAGGGATCAAACTCAGGACCTTGAGCTAGTGAGGCCTGCACAGAGCCACTGAGTTAAATCCCCAGTCCCATAGTACGGTAATGTGAGCTTTAGACCTGAGTTTGGGAAAGGGAGAAAAGTAAAGTGATCTAAAAACTTCAGTAGGAAGACAGCTCCTCTCCTTGTAGAGATATGTATTATAAAGGCTGGGAGATAGAAAACAACCACCGCTGAAGAGACCTACAAGGAAGGTTGTATCTTCCTGGAAGATCTGGGTTTTAGTTAGAGCAAGGCATTTTAATTTTTATTGTTAGAAGTGCTACAGTGTTTGTTGATGACAAGGCAGAGATTGAGGTTGAGTTAGAAAGACTATTGGACATGAGTTCTTAGAAAGCTGAGAGGCCAAGATAGGGTATTGAATGATTTATCCATAGATATTGAAATTATAAAGATCAGAAATGGAGTGAAAAAGATTTTTGAGTAGTCAAGTGCAGATTTCTAAAGGTGCTTACAGTACTGTGTGTATAAACTGAAGTGTCATCTTTATTCTGTTTTTTTGTTTAGACTTTCTTTTTGTGTGTGTGGTAAAAATACACATAACAAAATTCCATTTCAAGGGTATAGTAGGGAGAGGAAATAAAAGGAATTGAGATGTTTATATATATGTACCAACTCCCCACATTAAATATCATCATTATGTACTGCAAACATATACTTATAAAGGCAGTATAGTTCATTGTTGTTAAGTACATTCCCACCATTGTATACCTGTCACCACTGCCCATGCCCAGAACTTTTTAATCTTCCCAAAGTGTACCTCCATACATAGTAAACAATTCCCCATTCTCCTCCCCTTCAGTCCTTGGCAACCATCATTTTACAACGTATTTTTGAATTTCACTGTTCTATGTACCTCTTAAAAGTGGAATTATATAGTATTTCTCCTTTCACAACATCCTCATTTCACTCAGCATTATGTTCTCTTGGTTCATCATGTGGCATTTGTCAGAATTCTCCTTTTTTAAAAGTAGATAATATTCCATTTTTGAACATAACACATTTTGCTTATTTGTTCATCCATCAATGGATTCTTGGGTTACTTTCCCTCTTTGGTCATTGTGAGTAATGTGACTATGAACACTGATGTACAAATAGCTGTTTGAGTTCCTGCTTTCCTTTCTTTTGAGTATATATTCACATATCATAATTCTTTGTTTAATTTGGGGGGGGCTGCCATACTGTTTTCCATAGTCATTTTGCTCTTTCTACACTCAAGACACGAGAGTTCTAGTTTCTTCACACCCTTGACAATACTAGTTATCTGTTTTTTATTTTGTTTAGATAATAGCCATTCTGATGGGTGTGAGGCCATTTCTCATTGTTATTATGACTTGCATGTCCCTTGCCATTGAGGTTGAACAGCTTTTCACGTGCTCAGTGGTCATTTGTAGATCTTCTTTGAAGGAATGTGTATTTTATACTTTGTCCATTTTTAAATTAGGTTGTTTTTCATTATTCAACTACAGGAGTTCTTTATTCCAGGTATTAAATCCTTATTAGACATAGGATTTACAAATATTTTCTCCTACTCTAGGATTATTTTTTAACTTTTGATATTGTCAGTTGAGGCACAAATTTTAATTTTGATGAAGTCAGTTTGGCAAATTTAATGTCATGAAACCTTTGTGTGATGTTTTCTTCAGTTTTTTAGTTGTTAATAAGTAGTTCTTCGGAGTTAATTTTTGTATGTAGTGTAAGACAGTCTCCAATTTCAGTCTTTCTACTGTTTTTTAATAGAATGTGAAACCAAAATTTTAGTACTATCAAAAATATATTTTCATTTCTTTACCTATACTTTTGCCTTGTTATAGGTGAAAACATAATTTTTAAATTTTTTATTATATTTTTTGGTTAGCAAGAAATACTACTAATTTGAGAGCTCTGAACTGAACCACAAGAAAACATTTTTCTTTGTGTCTTAGAGCCAAGATTCTGGGTCTGATAATCGAATAAACACAGTCAGTCTCAAGGAAGCATTGGAAAGGTTTGATCACAGCCCAACCCCTTCTGCCTCCTCCCGGAGTTCAAGAAAATCATCTCACACAGCAGTCTCAGACCCTTCCTGTGAGTATTTTGGCTTGAAGGAAGACTTCTGTAAAAGAGAGTACTTCTAAATTATTTATGTTAACTGATAATTAGAATTTTGGGCAGAATATTTCTTTAAAATTAAAATTTAAAATTATATTTTAAATTATAGTTTTTTACAATTTTGAAGTATATCTACCTTTCCACTGAGTAAGAGGCACATTGTTTACCTTTAACAAAGAATTATTATTGAGTAATCTATAAAACATGCAAGTAGTAATATTACTTTTAACCATTCCTAAAAACAGAAAGCAAAATTCTTCTTTACTGTGGAGCCAGTGTTCTATACAGTTTGCTTTATGAAAGGTTTTTTGGGGGCTGGGGGAGGGTTTTTGGTACCAGGAATCAAACTCTGGATCTTGTGCTTGCCAGGAAGGCACAGTGCCACTGAGCTAAATCCCTGGCCCTGCTTTATGAAAGTATTTTAGGGTCTGATTTTTATGAAGACTTGAATAAGTCATTAAATTACAATTGGCCTTCTTATGTGTGGGTCCACATCTGTAGAGTTAACTAACCAAAGATAGAAAGTGTTCCAAAAATACAACATTTGTACTACACAGGTACAGGCTATTTTTCTTGTCATTGCTCCCTTAAACAATACAGAACAACATTTATTTGCATTGTCTTTGGAATTACTTAACAATCTAGAAATGATTTGAAGTATACGGGAGAATGTACACAGGTTAAATGCAAATACTGTGCCATTTTATATAAAGGACTCGTGCATCTTAGGATTTTGGTATCCACAGGTGGTCCTGGAACCAATCCACTATTCATATTGAGGGAAAGACTATAGTTACTGTATTTATATTAAATCTATGTCAAATATTTTCTTTGCTTTTTTAAAAGAAGAATTAAAATTCATCGTATAGTCATGCATTTTACTTTTATTGAATAATTTATAAAACTAACTCAAAGACCATTTTTATTCACTGCAGTACATTTTGAGAGTAATGTTTAAAAACTCTGCTTATAGGTATTAATGCTATTCTGTTTTTGTTGGCTAACTTCAGCAACACCAACAAAGATCCCAACAGATACTAGCACTCCTCCCAGACAGCATTTACCAACTCATGAAAAGATGGCACAAAGGAGATCATCATTTAGTAGTCAGGTGAGCTATTTAGTTAATATTGTTTGGAAAAAAAGATTTATTAAAAGGGGAAAAATTACCTAAATCTTAAGAAATTCATTGATTCCTTGTTGCTCTCTCTAAAGACCCAAATAGTTGGTATATGACACTTTTCCAAGGTCTGTCTGTGATTTGTGAAGTGGTTGTTATACATTTAAGTCATTCTTACTATTTTTCAGGTAAAATTTTATAGATTTTTCTGTGTGAAAAGCTGATAAATGAAAACTATTTTATAAGTTCGAACACCATTTTTTTTTGTTAAGTCCAGCCAACTTTTACATAGCGCTTATGCATGGTACTATGACAGATACACTGGAAGATAAAACACAGATAAGGAACAGATCTTTCCAGTGTCAGGAGGGAGACAGCTGTACTCAGCTAACAAAAGTGTGAAGCAAATTCTGAGTTTAGTGATAAACATATCGTGTTGCTATTTCTGCTGGAACTATGAGAATGAACATTACTTCAGTAATTTCAGTTATTTATTTTGCTTCTAGTCCATAAATTCCCAGTCTGTTGGTCCTTCATTATCACAGCCAGTGATGTCTCAAGCTGCAAATTTACCAATTCCACCAGGCATGTCTCAGGTATTTTTTGTTTGTTTGTTTTAGTTGAGTACTTATGAATGATAAATTGCTTTTCAGCAAAGTGATTACATAGTTATACACATATAGTTATATATAGTTTTTATATATGTATAGTTGTAGATGTAGTGGATTTTAAGTACTGACGTTTAGACTATCTAGGGGTATTTTTGTTTCTGGTAATAGTTATAAGGTACAACAAAGAAGCTCCTGCTTAAAGCTACTGTAACAAATCCCTCTTTTTTAAAGAAAAAAGACATAAAGATATTAAAGATGAAATATAGCAGTTCATTTTATTCTTTCTGTGGATATTGGAAGAATTAACTTTATTCATTTCTTCATTCATATATGACAAGTGTTGACAATATTTGCAATATCTATATTAAAAGGCAATGAGGAAACAACACATGACTATGATACCACATTATATAGCCTGTGCACATCATATGGACCTTCAATGCAGCCTGAGAAACTGAAGAAAAACTTCCCAGGAGACTATTTGCCTGACCTTCTAGAGAAAGCCTAAGTATAGAAATTAGGAAGACAAAGGAGAATAAATAAAAGCAATACATTAAAAATACTACTGAATAGTTTTAAATATACGATCACATAAAATCTTCTGGCTGTTTTTGTTTTTGTTTCTTGTGCTACTAGGGATAAATGCAGGGCCTTGTACATACTAGAAGAGTGCTGTACCCCTGAGCTAGATCTCCAGTTTCTCTCACTGTTTTGTTTGGCATTAAATATCTAAACTTTGTAATCCTAATTTCTAGCAATGTACTATTCATGTAATTTGTTTATAAAATCACTGTATTATTAAATACTATATTTAGTGCAACAGTTTTTAATCAGCATTAGTCATCAAATTCTAATTACTTTGACATATTAACAAACATTTCAGTAAGTATTTAGACATATTTCAATATTATTAGTTCTTCAATCTCAGGATACTGATTAACATTTCTTAATGTTTTATAGGGAATACTTTTATAAAATAAATACCTACTATGTAAAAAATGTTAATAAGCATTCATCTCACATTTCATTCACAGTAAAACAAAACACTTTGCATCTTTGTTCTTTGGTTTTATTTTCTGTTAAAATTTTGTGTTCTGTGTTTATCTTTATTTTCTTCTTTGTACTTAATAGAAATCCTTTAAATGACAACATAACGTTTACCTATAAATCCAGAGAACTTTACTTAGAATAAAAATACTTGTATAATAAATATAACATTTTTGACTCATACGTTAGAAGGGCTGAGAGAGTTGAGGCACTAATTTATAGTATTATCTCAAACCTAGTAGAATAATATATGATATTGCCTGGTTTCAACTTCAGAACTCAAAGTTGTATACCTTGAAAAGTAATACTCTGTATCCTTAATACAAACTTTTCTTTGGTTCCGGGGATCAAACTCTGGTCCTTGAACTTGCGAGGCAGGCACAGTGCTACTGATCTAAATCCCCGACTCCAAACTTTTGAATATAGAATAAAAAAGCATGGGAGAGGAGTGATCTCATTTCAAGTGCAGTTCACTGCAGACTGTTTAACAGATTTCCAGTAAAATGAAGCCCTTTCTGCTCTTATACTGTACTGTCATGTACTTAATAGAGTCCACCAAAAAATGTATACATCAGGGAGAGAAAAGCTTCTATAAATATTTCAATACTAAATTTATTGAGACTTAATGAGATTAATCCAGGTTACCTTTGGCCTCTAATTACAGCAGATGCTCAGCGTAGTGACTATTAGCTTCCAGAAACTTATTAGAATGGTGAACGTTGAAGTGTGTATACATTTTTTTGGTGGACTCTTGTATTTATGAAAATAATCAAATGAGCCTGTGTTGACTTCAGAATGAATCATCAAATTGAGCTAAATTATAAGCAATAGGAAATAGAGAAATAAGAAGGAAAATCCGGGAAGTAAATTGTTTTCATTCATGATTCATTCATTTTTTGTTCATAACTGTTTGTTCTTTAAAAGCCTATGTTTCAAACTTTGGAGTTCAGCATCAGTTGAAAATGAGTGAAAATAATAATACTGTTTATCTGTTAGGTTTTTGTAACTTTGGGTAATTCTGTTTATGTACACATAGAAGACATTTAGGGATAACTCCAGGTTACTTCGGGCTACATTTTCATTTGTTAAAGAGTAGAAATGAAAGTAAGAGATAAGTAATGTGTTCTAGTAAGTGATTGAGCCCCACAATATGAGCTCAGGTCTTCTGACTTAAGGATGTACTGTATTTGTAATCAGCCAGGGTCCAGTCAGAAATCAAAAGTAGGACCAGGGGGTTTAGCTCTGGTGCTGCTGCCTGTCTGCAAAGCGCAAGGTCCTGAGTTAGATCCCCAGTACCAAAAAAAAAAAAAAAAAAAAAAAAAAAAACAAAAAAAAAAAAAAAAAAAAAAAAAAAAAAAAAGCCTAGAAATCAAAAGTATACCAGAAATTCAAAGAGAGACACTGTGGAAAATAAAGTAGTAACTAAAAGACGGACAGAATGTAAAGAACATAGGAAGAGGAAATGTAAAAAGCAGGCATTAACTGTAAGTCAGAAGGAGAGCATCTAAGGTCCCCAGCCTCTTAGATGCCGTCCCCCATGGTGGGCTCGTACTCAGATCTCACTGTGGCTGGGTGTGATACAGAAACTCACTGAGATGTTTAACAAGGAGGGCCAAAGAGCAGGAAGTCACCTTTGGGGACTGGTGAAATTTGGTAGGAAGCTGCCCACTGGGATATCACTGAAACTCGCTAGAAAGCTGCCTGCCTGGGTGCTGATACTGTGAAGCTGCCCACTGGCTCCTCTGACTTTAGAATGAGAAGGGAAACACCAGCCCCTGAAAGATAAGCGTTTTCCTTGGTAGTATCCCTCCAGCGCCATCTGCTGACCTGGCTAACTTTGTGCCTGCTGGTAAAGAAGTAGTTTTGAGTTCCAGGTCCAAGGTCCCAAAGCAGATCAAAAATGAGGGCCAGGGATTTAGCTCAGTGGCACTGTTCCTGCCTCGCAAGAGCAAGGTCCTGAGTTTGATCCCCAGTACCAAAAAAAAAAATTTGTAGAAGATAGGTTAGAAGCTGAAAGGCAGGCAGTAAGTACATCAGTAACTGGCCTGACATTGTTAACCCATGATATACTGCTTGCTTTCCATATTGCACAATTATGTGGAGCAAATAATTTAAAAATAAGTTATCCTTTCCCACATGTGGTGTTTCAGTTTCAGTTTTCAGCTCAATTGGGAGCCATGCAGCATCTGAAAGACCAGTTGGAGCAACGCACACGGATGATAGAGGCGAATATTCATCGGCAACAAGAAGAACTAAGGAAAATTCAAGAACAACTTCAGATGGTCCATGGTCAAGGGCTGCAGGTAAGTTATTTTTATATTTAAGTACAAAGTGTATCCCATTTGCATTTTAGTTTCATAGGAAATTGTTTTTTTAATGTTTTATTCTACATACACATTTTACAAAATATTGGGTTTAAATGTGATATTTTCATACACATGCATATAGCATATTTTGATCTTATCCATTCCCTGCTCTCCTCTATTACCATTGCCCCATTCTCTTCCTTTTTTCTAAAATAGTCTACCCTCTGTGGAAATTGCCTTTTTTTTTTTTTTTTAATGAAAATTAGGATAGGTTGTAGTGGCACACACCTTTAATCCCAGTACTCAGGAGGCTGAGGCAGGAGGATCACTGTGAGTTTGAGACCAACCTGGGCTACATAATGAGTTCCAGGGCAGTCTCAACTTCATAGTGAGACCCTGTCTCAAAAAAAAAAAAAAAA